GAATGAAATGTATAAACAATATAATGTGGACATCTATATGATATATATGAATATTATGAGAGCAGCTTGGTATTCTAAATCTCCAGAGGAAGCGTAGAGACAGGCAGCAATAATGGTTTTGCTATGGGACCCCGCCATACATAGTCACAGCTCTGCCAGGTCATATATTATTTTTGAATGGGGCTGTACTGGACTGTTCAGAGTGGCAATATATGATAATGCCACTCTGATGGGTGATATTGAGGTTCTCTGCGATGTATGGAAGTCTCGGAACACCCAGATACTGCTAAGCATTGAATGGTACAGATAGGGAGTGCCAGGAACAGTGGCGGAATTATCACCATAGCGACCCAGGCGGCCGCTATGGGGCCCCGGGCACAGGGGGGCCCGGCCAGGACGAGGAACAAAGGGGTCCACCTGATTCTGTGCGGGCCTCCTGGGTCACTATGGCATCGCAGGCTGCTGGCTGTCACTGGCGTCTGTGAGAAGGAATGCGCCGTTGTCCAGATCACTGACAACCTGTCAGTGATCTGTGCAGCGGCGCATTCCTCCTCACAGCCGCTGCTGAGTCAGTGACAGCCAGCAGCTACGATGGAGCAGGACGGGGCCCGTCGGCGGCAGCAGAGGAGGAGGCGGGGCACAGAGGCGGTGGAGGAGGAGGCGGGGCCCAGCTATGAAGGAGGCTGACAGGTAAGAGGTGTGCAGAGGTGTGACCAACCCACCTGAGACCCTGCAGAGCCCACCATAGAGAGTCTATGGTGGGCTCTGCAGGGTAACTCTGAGGTGGGCTGTGTGGGATCTCAGGTGGGCTCTCCAAGGAGCGTAACTAGAAATCACAGGGCCCCATACAAAATTTTGCTATGGGGCCCTGTGATTTCTAGTTACGCCCCTGGCCAGGATGTAAGACACTTGACACTTGGCAGCTAGACGTATCCACTCTGTGTTTGCATTTGCAAACATTGAATATCAAACAAAAAAGAACCCTATTATCCAACTGAATCTGTTTTACAGTATTACACCATAATTGTACATTTTTATTATGTTCCAACAAACCCTTGAACACCAAAAATCAAAAAACGAATGGGAAATGATCCAGACAGGCCCTACAGCAGTTCACAAAGCTGTACATTTACATGTTTCAGGCCCTGGCAACTGGCGGGCGAGTTCAGGCAGCTTACAATAGGAAGAGACTGCATGGAGCTTACAAGTGTGATGATGCTCATTTAGGCCTGATTCAGAACAAGGCGACAGCGTCGTTGCTGCACGTTGTTGCACATCTAATGCAATGACAATGACCATCAGGACAAAAAGAAATACAGACACAGGGAAATACAGACTACAATAAAAAACCTTGCAGAGATGTTAACCCCTTCCCTACTCTATACAAAATGAAAAAAATGTCTTTAAATACACATTAAGGTTTACCAAGAAACAGAACAGAGCAAAAGAAACAGAAACATAAATTAAAAGGTGTCTTTTATTTCCAACATATTGTTTCAGAACTTGAGCTCATATATACATTATAGTAGTAGTTAAATAAAGGCAAGATGGACACTGAAACATCCGGTATCCCGCCACAAGAGGGTGCTATGAGAACTAGCAAAAAGTAGCAAACCAAACTGCAAGAACAGTCAGCGTGAAATGACAATTGGTTCCCAATTTACAGTACAGCTTTTAAAGTCAGGATATAATTACATCAGGCGCCCTTATAGGACTGGCCGGGTATCCAGACAAAGTGGCAGTTTCTGATCAGCGTGGATCAAAATCTCTGCGATAAGCAGTTTATGAAGGCACAGTGTGGAATATTTTCATGGTACAATACATGATAGTGATTATATTAAAAGGGGGATCATTCTGTGTGCTGAATTTTACATTTACATTACATTAGACACAACAGGAGGACTGAGATATGACTGGAGGGAAGGCTGAGCTGAGTCCTCCGGGGAATATAGGAGTTTTTATGACAGGCTTGGGAGTGCATGGCCTACAGGTATGCCATTCGAAAGAAGCTTCCATTTAAAAAAAAATTGTTTTTTATGTACCAGGGATACAGGAATGCATGGGAAATTTTTTGGAAAAGGTAAACTAACCCTTTAAAGGAGAATTATGAGGCGAGTGATTCTCACTCAGCCTCATAATCTGAGATGAACTTTGACAATGAAACTGTAGATCGGGAAGTGAGCGAACACATACCGTCGCTCGCTCACTTCTCAATCTATTCCTGCAGAGAGCCGTGACTGTCACTCACAGCTCCGTGCAGGGATTCCCCCCCCCCCCTGTCTGATCCTCCAGCGCTGACTGGTGGAACGGACGGGGGAGGGCACAGCTGGCTCTGCCTCTGGATAAGCAGAGCCAGCTGTCAATCATGCAGCTGGGGGGATCTCGACAGTAATGTCAGGATCCGTTCGGGCTGCGGCGTCTCAGTATACTGCGAGCTGTAACTCGCGGTATACTGAGCTTTGGGTCACGGGATTACGCTAGTTTGTGTTCTACCGTGACCCTTAGGAGAACTATGGGGAAAGCCCTGACCCCATAGTTCTCCTTTAAAGTAGATCTAAACCCAAGCACTAAAATCTTTTGTCAGAATGTGTTTTTAATCTTTTTTAACCTGCATCATTTATGGAAATAATACCTGGTGACCCTGCCATTAAAACTATTGATCAGTCCCTCCCTGTTATGGGGCGACGACTGTCTGCTGCTTTTGTTCCTGCATTGTCACCCTGTCACATGCGTCCAGTTTTGGAGATTACAAGAGGCCATGCTGACTGACATGATCCACCTTTGTCACTGTCAGTAAGCTCACCCTAAGCAATCATGTGCAACTGACACAGCAATGTGTGCGTGTACACACCAAGTGACTGAAAGAGATCAGCACCACTGAGATGTACAAAAGGATAAATAAAAAAAAGATGAAAAGAGTATTTTATGGAAAAAAAGTGGCAATGGTTTATGATAAAAAAACTGCAATCTGCGCTTTTACTAATGCCTACACTGAAAGAAATGAACAAACCCCAATAGGCTGTGTATCAATATCAAACAGATATAATCAAAAAGAGTTTAAATTTAAAACATACAGGACATAAAACATAAATCGTTGTAACACATCAATAAAATAAAACATATATAAGGTATTCATCCACCATAATAGTGTCCATTAACAAAGTCAACACCCACAGACGAGTGGCCACATGCACAGAAGCAAGAAATGCGTGGGGTGCAGCATCCTGGACGTGTCTGAGTGCTGGGCTTAGCACTGTAGATAACTGCTGCACTCCTTACCAAATGCCCCCTGTGCTGAAAGGTGGGTGATGAAGCGACTGCGGATGGCGCCGCGCATCACAGTGTACATCAAAATGTCACCAGCACACCAATGGATGATGTCCAAAATAAAGCATCTTTTATTCACACATATTGTCACATCAAAAATGCAACGTTTCGGGGAATCATGTTAAGCTTGATAAAGGGGACCCTGCGTGGCCCCGAAACGTTGCATTTTGATGTGACAATATGAATAAAAGACGCTTTATTTTGGACATCATCCATTGGTGTGCTGGTGACATTTCTGATGTACACTGAATGGTGGGCTGAGCACTGTTTTTATGAGTTTTTTTATTTTCTTAATTATTCTAATAAAATATATTTTACTCTATGAGCACCTCTTCTTTTTTATGCTTTTATGTAAATTAGGTGGTCAGTAGCAAAGAACAGGATAGGACTCCATTGCCTGTGTATAACCGGATACATCATTAAACTTCTCATCTATATAGGGGGTCACTGGATTCTAGTGAATTTGCCCGCCATGGGGATACATATACATCCCATAGATTGAGGAGAGATACACTTTTTTTTCACAGAGTTCTCAAGCGTTGATTGTTCAGCACACCGCGATTATTTCAGTGGGACTTTGTTGCTGGACACTGGTGGATTGCATGTTTTACATGTTTTATATTTCATAGATGTGTTATATTGATTATAACACATGCACACACACTGCAAGGGTTCACTGCTCTTTTTTTATATAGAGGGATTCTGTAAAGCAGTTTTATTTACCTGATTCCCACTGAAAAGGTTGTTTATTTTGTTCTGGAAATAGGGTTTCAGCATATGCATTGCGTATTACTTTATTACTTACATATTAAAAAGTTGAAAAATAAATCAAGGCAACTGGACTTGCTGTATTTTTCTTGAAAATGTTTTGCTAGTCTGAATTGAGAAAGCTAGCCGGATGACCAGCGAAATGTCTTCAAGAAAAACACAACAAGTCCAGTTGCTTTGATTTACTTTTTACAGATATACCGTGACCTGGATGAATGAGAACCTTCACAGACATATTGATGGACTTGTGTCTTTTTCTTTCAACCTAACTATGTAACTTACATTATTCCTCGTTTTGGCACGCTCCAGTGCTATTCTCTTCTTTAAGGCACTCTGGCCTGTGGGCGGTCCCTCGGCATCATCACGTACTATACAAGACTGTTAGTCCTGCATTGGATGTGAGGAGGTAAGTGTTTGGCCACAAGCTGGAGCACCCTGGAGAAGAGGCTTCAGGGGAATGGTCACACACATGGAAGGAGTCAGTCGGAGTGAGAAATAAGGTATGTATGACAAACTATTATCCTACCCCTAGACCCTACAAGCATTTAACCCTTGCAGTTTGGGTGGGCACTGATGTAGGAGTATTTGTTCCTTGTGTTTAGAGCTGGGCTTTCAATGTCATAGAGTTAGGTTTTAGATCTACTTTTATTATATCCTCTTTGAAGGGACAGACTTTTAACAATTAGGAATGGGTCAGTTTTTCGAACTGCATTATGGGTCCAACGTTGCCTCATGTGCCATAACATCCTATGAACAGAGGCAGGAGCACCCCGAAATTGGAGCTGATATTATATTTGATATCAGGTTGATGTACAGATTGACTGCTGTCACCATGCTCTGGAGTTCATAATTCCACATGTTTATCCTTTGCTCAGCTGACAGTCACTGAGTCTTAGTTGAATGTATCTGTATTAATCATAAACTTCAAGACACTGCTGGTAGATAACCGTCACATAATTAATTTCTATTGTCTTGGATAACATTTACAATTAATACTTTGATTCTACTCCTAAAATAAGTTAATACCAAACTATTTCCTAAACACAGTTTTCTGGTTCACATTCTCTGTCTTCTGTGAGTATTGGGCAGGCCGTTCCATTGTTGGCTGCTTTCATGCGTATGTACCTGGTCCTGGTCTTCAACCCCTTGGACCCGCAGCTGCCTTTACAGAGACCCCAGGAGGACCAGACAGAGACCTCACAATCCAGAGGTGTTCCTGAAACACACAAATGATATAGAGATTGCCAGGGGTACAAGGAAATTAGGCACGCACCAATAAAATACTGCATCCTGTCACTGGGTGGAGCTGAAAACCAAACCAAAATAATACCACCTCATATAGTAAGGAACTCAGAAATATCCAGCCAGGATTTTGGTAAATGTTTATTTGTACTTTGGGTTTTTGTATGGGTGTAAAATTTAGATGACTTTAAAGCTGAATTCTGGGATAAGCAAATGTTGTCTAAATACAAAAGTCATGTGTATTCTTACTTGGGTCTTGGTGGGCTTTGTGTATTTCTTCCAGATTTGTGCAGCTATTGAAGAATATATTTGAATGAAAGTTTTTGTGGCCCGAGATCAGCAGTGCACGGCCCGATTTATGCTCTGATGGGCCTTAAGTCCCATTCTCCACCTTATCCAGTGCCACAAATTACCCAACTTGCTGACCATATCACTGATTACATGACCAGTAGGGTTTGCATTCATTTTGTGCATTGCATCCATTCGCAAACAATGAAGCCACTGGCCGTGCAAATTATTTATAAATAGACCCCAAGTGTATCTGGAATAACCCTTGTGTTCCATCTTAACCTAGCAGAACGGTAAGTGGTTTACCTGAGATATTTTCGTCTATTTCGTTTCCTGTATTCGTCACGTTTGATGTGATATCAAGAAAGGACATTATCTTGCCTTTGAGTTTTGTAAATGTCACTTTTGCAATTGGCGGTAGGCTCTTTAGTCGGGGATAAAAGAATGAGTTTGCCGGATGATTTGGTAAGGAAGATGTAATCTGCCAATGAAAGAGAATGATTTTGACATTTGCATTTTTATTTCACAAAGTGATAAGACGGAACTTCAAACAACTATGAATACTCTAGACATTTTGAAGCTCTTTCCGTGGTGAGCACGATAAAATTCTGCAGGAAACGCTCACATATAATTATTCTACAGCATACCACGCAAGGGCTAAAACAATCTATTCTGGAGCAGATTTATATGTTCAATCCATAAAATAAATGTACATGTTATGGAAAGTTCGGGAGATTTTCAAGGAAAAACTTCTGTTAGCAAAGAAAAACTTCATTTTGTGCAATGCATAACTAATGTGCAACCTGTAAAAAGTATTTCTGTGCAGCTCAATAAGACACAATACTTTCACCAGGGCATGATCATTTCAATGCTACCACCACCAAGCAGCCTCCAGAGCCGCCCCAGGGGCTGATTTGGTAATGCAGCCATTTATGGGCATCCTTTAAGAGACCCTGTCACCAACTTAAAAAGTTCAGGTAAAAATTACGGTTGGACCCTTGATTTTAATGGGGTTATATCCACGCGGCAATCGCTGAAAAGAGGTACCTTTTTCCACAACACACTTTTTTTGAGCCTCATTCCTGCGTGAGTGCAGGGGCGGAGTCGCGGCAGAAAACCATGCAATCTGTCTGCCGCAACTGGAGTGCCATTAGAAAAGAATGGCACCGCCAGAGTGATCAGCGGTAGTGTGCGATTCGGTGACAGCGCGGCCATCCACGTGGTTTCGTGCACAATTGCCACGCGGGCACAGATCGCCTAAGCGTGAGTCGGGCCTTACAGTGTTTATCCTTTCCATAAACATTTCTTTTACTTATAATATGCCTTTGAGTTTGCTAGGGTATTGACTTTCTAGAACAGCCTATCACAACCAGGCCTTGATCCTTCCTCAGGGATGAATTTTCAAACATCATCATTACTCTTATGTAAAGAGATCACCCAATTTATAGGGGTGGCATGATAAGAAAAAAGGGGGGAGCTTGAAGTGAAGGGGGGATCCTAATGTGAAGAGGGGCTTCTTTGTGAGAAGAGGTGACTCTGATGTGAATGGAGGGGGCTCTTGATATGAAGAAGGGCTCTTTGTGTGAAGGGAGACTTTCATGTCAAGGGGGGAAACCCCATATGTTTTGTGTTTTTGCATGTGGCTCCCCCTTAAAATCCATACCAGACTCATATCTCAGATAAAGGTCTAGTATGGATTTTTGAGGGAGGGACCACAGTTTGTTTTCTACATTTACTTTTTTTTACATTTTAGACTGGGACTGAAAAAAGGTTGAGAAATGCTGCTCTAGAAAGTGTCGGGTACCTAGCCCAGTGCCCTCCCTCCTCCCTCCATTATGAAACCATCAAGACTTATCTGATAAAGGATGCGTCACTGCTCTGACTAATTCACTTGTGTATGTATATTTGAGCTTGAGCTACTGGGCCTGTAAATAACAACATTTATTCAACAGGCAGATTGTAAAGGGATTAACATATGGAAACAAGTCCAAGAGAAACACTTGTTAGCTTAAAAACAAATTAATATAAAAGTAATAATATCCAACACGTAGGGATGAAGGATGTGCCATTGCTCTGACTAATTAACTTGTGTATGTAAATTTGAGCTTGAGCTACTGGGCCTGTAAACCAACAGGTTGTAAAGAGATTAACATATGGAAACAAGTTCAAGAGCAACACCTGCTGGTTTAAAAAAATTGTATAAAACTATTAACATGCAAAACTTCATATTTAGCAGACAAAAATGTCCATAATTAATAACCCCTATACATTCCTTTTAACGGAAGTAGAAAATTAAGTGCTTTTGATGCTTGTATGTTTTTCCGTACTTCATTTTATGAGCTTTTCCTGTACCTTGTTTGTACAGTTAAAGTGACTCTGTCACTAGATTCTTCTATGAAAGAAAAATGATGAATACTTGCAGTACCTGAACAGCCACCCACTTCACCAACCTTCACTCAAGCCTAAGCTTGCTGAAGAATTTTCTGAATTTGGCACTCCTGGCAGTGTCAGGTCCTGTCAGTTTTCCCTCCTGGAGCTGTAGTTTCTTCTTCCAGCTCCTACAGCACAACAGGATCTATGGGGACCAGACATCTGACACACCCGGAAGTACTGGTTGCAGAAGATACTTCAGGAAGCTTAGCTCTTCAGAAGAACATAGAACGGGGGGTGCCACGACCGGTACGTATTCTTTTCTTTGAAAGAACGACTTTAAAAAAAAAAAAAGTTTTTTTAATCTAGTCATATATTTCCATCACTGGAACCGTACACAATATTTGGCTTGTAAAAGGACACCTGTCTTTCGAGAGCACCTCTTTGATGCAGAACATTTTCTTTTTTTACCTGCCCAGAAAATCCTCCTCTTTGTCTCTACCGGCTATCAGGAGGCGCCTACTGTGCCTGATGGTTTATTATGGCCTTTACATAACATACCTCTGTGACAGTTCCCTGGGGGATGGTGGCGTAGTTTGGAGAAGAGAAGGTGAATCCACTGTCTGTTCCAGCATCGTAGGGATGGAGGTCTAGTGTTATGGACTGTTTCCATTGTTTCCCGTCACACAGGTTTAGGCTGTCCACTCCCACGAACCAGTCTGGACTCGGTACAATCCTCACCATGAAAGAAATCTAGTGGTGGGAGAACAGAGGATCAATGACTGAGATTTAAAAATGAAAAATAACACAATATATAGGAATTAGAAACTATTTAGAAATTATAGAAATTATGAAGGAAACCTTTCCTGAAACTGCCATTGATGACTTCCCATTGTACAGTCACGGTGATCCAATGGCTTCAACATCTTGAATTACTTCACCCAGGACAACTATACAAATAAGGAATTCTGACTTTGCTTTGGCTCCCTTGATCTGTATGCTCGTTTCAGGCCATTCTCAAGGTATTGAGTCAATGTTACCATAACAGGCAGGCAACTAGGATTTCCAAAGGTCAGCAATGTCAGCCCCTACTGCAACTGGTTTTGATGCTATAAGTATTTTGAAAATGGTGTAGCTATATATATATATATACACATATATACACACATACAGTATATATACACAGTATATACTGTATATAGTTATGAAATCTAGTTCAGATAACTGAAATCCGTCTATATGTCTATTTGCCACAGTCGAAAATTAAAAACAGGCTTGCAGTGGTTACAATGTGTGTTACTGGTCTGCTGTTTTTCTCCAGTATTCCTAACAGAAGGCTCGAGATCAGGAAATGGCATAGAGTCTGCAGAAGTGCAGGTTCTCAAAACTGTTGTCACCTTCCTCATCTGTACTCTGCAGCTATATAGCACTGAAAAGGAGGATGATTAACACACAAAAAACACATAACTTGTAAAAATATGAATTTTGTTATTGAGTTCAGGCCTTCATTGTAGTGGTGTAGTTGTTATGTACCAATGTTTCTCATATAGTTGTATTGGTGTAGTTTTGGCCACCATTGCGAGAGGGGCGTTCTTCCCACTGGCCACCAATGCAAAGTGGATTCCCCTCACTGTCCACCAATATAACGGACATTTCCCCCACTGACCAATGTAAGGGGCATTCAACCCACTGACCACGAACATAAGGGGCAATGTAAGGGGCATTCTCCCTACTGTAAGAAGGGCATTCTTCCCACTGACCACCAATGTGAGGGGCATTTCCCCCCCTGGCCACTAATGTCAGGGGCAGCCTTCTCATTGACCTCCAATGGATTCATTTTAGCAGGGTTTCACTGACACCTGAAATTATTTAAGGGTTCCTCTGGGTTAAAAGGATGAGAAAGACTGGTCTAATGTTCTTATTAGGAACTGGAGTGATTTCCCCACAGCCACCAATTAAATCCAAACTTCCAGGGCAGCTCTGATGCTAATTGGTGGCTGAAGAGAATTAAGAACACATTGCCCCTAAGTGACCACAGCACTGGGTTCTGAGTGAGTGACATTTCTTGAGGCCATTTGACTGTATTGGATGAATAGTGATGAATATCAGAGGAAGGAGATGCTTGGAGACAGTTGGTGAGCCTGGTTGATTGGTGTGAGCTGGCACCAATGGACCACAGCAATCAGAAAAGAGAATTTAGAAACCTAATGAAGTAAGAACAATGTAATGGAAATAGAGAAATAGACCTTCCAAGACACAGATGAGAATCAGCCTAATAATGGATCCTAGCAATGAAGAGCATCGGCAAAGTGCCAGTGGAAATATAGAGGAATCAGACGGTCACGTCTTCCTTCTGGTGCTGAATTTTACAGGATAGGAAATAAGCATAGGGGGCCACAGCTGGTCACAGGATCTGTCATTTGTTTAAGGTGGCCCGTGGACCACAGCATGTGAAGAATCACTAATACTGCTATTCATGTTGTCACAGCTCATCTGGCATGAATGGCGAATGAGAAGACGGAGAAGAATGTGCTGAGAGGGGAAGCTGATGAGGAAACTTCAGGAATTCTTAGTGGTGAAAGCACTGATGGATGCATCTTTTGCAATGTTTCCATCACTATTGTGTCTGTTGCTAGGTTGCCTCGGTGCTGGTGGGGCTGGTTTTGTAGTCTCAGCGTTATTCTATATGTGAAAATAACGAGGTCTGTATACTATATACATCTATTACAACCGAGGAATTTAAAGGGCCCATGAGGCTAAATTACAGTTTGCTTAAAGTTGAACTCCAGGGAGCTATAAAGGCACACAATAATACTGATCTATAGCCCTTAATACATCACTAAATGTATTTTGTTAAATGCAAGCTGTATAAGTACCAGGGTTTTTTTGGTATCTTCCTCGTGCAAACCCTGTACAACAGAGCTCAGAGAAGGAGAGGAAGAAGCAGCACAATGAGTCAATTAGGTGTGTTGTAGTGCAAGGAGAGGTTCAAAGTGAAAGATAAATGAGAACCTCACTGGTGTGCTGCTTCTCTTTTTACTAAACAGTAACAAGCTGAGGCAGGGACAAGACCCGTAGGGTTACACTCACATCACTCAAATACAGAGAGCTGTTGTCAGCTCTGCCCAATTCTCATCTGCTGGACTACAGAACACATTATTATGGAGATAAGGAGAGGGGAAGGTGTTATGTAGTCCAGTAGGTGGAGAACTCAGGTAGGGCTGACAACACTACAGCAATTTCTTACACTTCAACTACAAGGTTTATAATAAGTTTCAGATGGTATAACCCTTAGCAAGTGCTTTCTTGAATCTTGAATGGTTCTGAAAGTGAACCAAATGGAGTTTTATGTATTTGTTTGAAGTTGTTCTTAGAAGATGTAAAACTTAAAATTACTACACAAGTTATTTTCTGATTTATTATTATTACAATTAGCTTTATCAGTCAAAAGCCAGCCATCAACTCCTAGAAGTGCCCCAAAAAGTAGGTAGTATCTCATGTCTGTGGTTGGATCTCTTATGTAAGCCGATATGTCAAGTATGAGGCTGGATCTCTTGTGAGATAATGTATGAGGCTTGATTTTAGGTATGAGGTATGATCTCATACAGTATATGAGGCTGGAGCCCAAGTATGAGGCTGGACCTTTCTCTTGTGGCTGGATCTTTTGTGTAGTGCTGGATCTCGTGGGAGATGGATCTCATGTATGCAGCTGGATCTCTCATGTGAGGATGCATCTCACCTTTGAGGCTGGATTCCAGATGTGAGGCTGCAGTTCATATGTGAGGGTGAATCTCACGTGTAAGGCTGAATCTTGTGGTTGGATCCCATGTGTGAGACTGGATCCCATGTGTGAGACTGGATATCATGTGTAAGGGTTGGATCTTATGTGTAAGGGCTGGGTCTCATGTGTAAGGGCTGGATCTCATGTGTGAGGCTGGATCTCATGTGTAAGGGATGGATCTCATGTGTAAGGGATGGATCTCATGTGTAAGGGCTGGGTCTCATGTGTAAGGGCTGGGTCTCATGTGTAAGGGCTGTATCTCATGTGTAAGGGCTGGGTCTCATGTGTAAGGGCTGGATCTCATGTGTGAGGCTGGATCTCATGTGTAAGGGATGGATCTCATGTGTAAGGGCTGGTGCGTCTCTAGAGTGTTCGGGTTTCGCTTGAAGAAAAGGTGGCAACCCTAGCTGGATCTCATGTGTGAGGCTGGATCTCATGTGTAAGGGATGGATCTCATGTGTGAGGTTGGATCTCATGCGTGTGGCTGAATCCAATGTGTGATGCTGAATCTTGTGTGAGGCTAGATTTCCAGTGTACAGCTGGATCTCATGTGTGTGGCTGGATCCAATGTGTGAAGCTGGATCTCATGTGTGTTGCTGGATCTCATGTGTAAGGGCTGGATCTTGTGTGAGGCTAGATCTCCAGTGTACAGCTGGATCTCATGCCTGTGGCTGGATCTCTCATGTGAGCATGGATCTCTTCTATAAGACTGCAGTTCATGTGTGAGGCTGAATCTAAAGCTGGATCTTACGTGAAAACCTGGATAGCATATGAAGATTGATCTGTCATGTAAGGCTAAATCTTATATGCGAGACTGGATGCTGCATCTCAAGTCAGAGACTGAATATCTTTTGGAGGCTGAATACTCCCTGTGATGCTGGATCTAATGCATGAGGCAGGATCTTACATGTAGGCTGAAAATCATGTGTGCAGCTGGCTCTGTCCTGTGTTTCCCCGCATTTAAGCTTAGTCACAAGATTTGTTTTCTCTCTATTGTTCCATTGCATTATATGTCCCAATGTTGGCACTCCCATATGTTAGAGTAGAACCACAGTAATACCTTGCTTTGCAGCTTCAACATATATTTAGAAATGTATGCAACTCTTTTACACAAATGTGAGTAACGTCTGCAAAGCCTGCTTCCTTTATGTGATTCCATTCCTGGTATCCTGTATCCACATAAAGTAGGGTACACAGCAGCAGGTGAGGGACCAAAGGGCAAGCAAAGATACCATTGCCCACCTACAGATGAATACATTCTCACCCTGCTTAATGGTTGTAACAGCTCTGCATGAAGCAAACCCCCGGTACTTACATAAGGGTGCCTAGTGTGGACCTCCAACTCCGTTGATGAATGGCCGGTCCCACTGGACATGGATGGGGTAGAGAAAATGCCATGGACACTCTGGATCTTCTCTCCAGCTGCCTCTATCTCCTTTATTAAGGCCCAGGCTTCCCCTTTCTCTGTAAAGTCCCTCATTCCGTTGCTGGCATGGTCGTTCCTTTTCCACATGTGGTAGTCAGGGCTGTGACTCACTCCTGAGAGATGAGAGGAGTAGATGGTCATGTTGTACGACCGACCTTTTTCAAGATTAATTGTTTGTAAATCATGGCAGGCATCAACCGCCAGCACATGAGATAGTATCAAGGCAGCAAAACAGATTGAACTTGTTGGGAGCAGCGAGGTAAAATCAATAGAGACTTAACAACCGCTAACGACAAATGGGCACATCCATCTCGGCTTCACCACTCGTGTGTATTAACACTGCCTGCCTTTTTATATGTAACAGAGATCTCATGTATGGCCAAGAAACAAGCATGTTCTACATACCTACAGTATATTTAATATGAAGATATCGCATAATTCATAGTTCAGTATCCTAGCTGAGCAGATGCTAAAAAATCAGGTGAAAGTATAAGTATGGCCCAGCTATGAACATTCAAACATATCACATATCCCTATCAAGCATGACATAGGCTTTTTATTAAGCCTTCACGGACCTCCGGAGTTGCATCCGCTATGAAGCAATTCATGCTCAAAGTTCTCAAAAGAAGCAGCAATGTTGTTCACATCTGTTCCCAGTGTTCACATTAAAGAATAGAAGGCTGACAGGTTGCCGACTCACTGCTGGGAGGGGAAGTTGAGCTACTGGGAAAAGGTGTAAGTGAAATTGAGAAGCTTTAGCTTTAACTACACAGTGGTTGCAGCTACAGAGGTCAGTGAAGGCTGGTTTTAAAGTTTATATACTGCTTGTTAAAATATGTAAATATGTGAATTCCTGTAGCCTGGCCACAGTTCTATTTTCTACAGGATGTAATTTGTTTATTTTTAAGTTTTAGGCCTCATTCACACGAGAAATGGCTGGCACGTACAGCTCCGTGCTGCGTGCACAGCCCTATAAAGCAGCTCCCGGGAAGGATAAGTGTTGCATGTGATTAGTACGCAGCCCCTGTCTTTCTCTATGGGACTACGTGGCCGTATGCCGCTCTACCCTCACCCCAAGTGCAGGTCCGTACGGGTGTGGGTGTCCCAGCTCGGACGCAGACAGGGTCCATCCTGTCAGTGTATGAGTCCGGACACCCGCGTGGACGTGCAGGGCGGGTGAGCATAGGGCGGCGTACCCCCATAGAGAAGGACAGGGGCTGCGTACTAATCATATGCAGCACCTGTCCTTCCTGGGAGCTGTACATGCCGGCCGTTTCTCATGTGAATGAGGCCTAGAAGTGCAGACCCTGTGTTGAAAGAAAAAAAAAACAAATTTCTACCTACCCTCTCAACACTCCAGTGTTGTCCCCAACTTCCCACCAGGTCCAATGCTGGTGGTCCTCTTCCATTTCCTTTGAGCCCAGCCTGTCTTTAACATGCCCCTCCAGGGGGCACCTTATCACGTGGGCTGGGCTCACAGTACCCCAGAACTGAATGGCGCTCATGTGCCATTACATGACTGCCGCTCAGTCCCAATAGAATTCCTGCAAGGAGTAAGCTCTGGCCAGGAATGTTCTCAGCATTGCTCTGGTTCATGGCACATAAACCAGAGCAATCAGGAGAACATTCCTGATGCTGAACCCCTGTATGCTGTGTCCTATGGCTACCATGTTGGTCTTGTGTTTCATAAAATGTGTAACCTTTTTCCCATTTAATCTTTTCAAGTTATCAAAATTAAAGTGTATTTCCACTTTTGCAGTCATATTTGAGAAAACCTCTGCTATATGTTTCTTATGTGTTCCCATAGTTTGCCTTGGTGCACCTGTGTGTTAGTGGAGACACACACAGCTTACTAGCACACACAAGGGTGGCTCCATAGGGCGCTGCAAAGGGAAAGGAGCCGCCCTAAAACAGGATATCAGGGCCAGTGCTCCGGGGACCAGGAGATTCTAGGAAACTAACAATCGATGGCAACGTCCATTGTAAGAGATTTGATCAGCATTTGGAAAAGTTTAAAAACAGTTTGACTTTAATGTCACTTTAAGAATATAAAGACAATGGTTTTACAATGTATATCTATATTTAAGAAGAAAATTACATTTTTCAGGGTAAATACTCTTACACACGCCATGATCTGGCTTTTTATAGAACCTCCCTTAAGCTACGTGTCTTGCCGAATAACGAAGACTTTTGAGTGACACATGTGATAGGCCTGCTAATTACTATGGAAGGAGCTGCTCTGTGATTAGAAGTGATGGAACTGAACCCTGAGAGGTTTGGAAAAGGTCAGATGAGACAATTGCTGGTGTAATTGCTCCATTCCCACGTTATCTAGATGAGATCTTTGGCAGCCTAACACAGAGGTGTGCGGATAGTTCATAATCACTTACCTAACAAGGATGACCACTGTGCCGGGGGCCTGTACAAGGGGTATTGTTTGGGGAAGGACGCCTGGCTCCATTTGCCGGTAAAGATGATGCTATACTTAGCAATCTCTTCTGCGGTACAAATAGCATCTTCGCTCAAGGGAAGACAGCTGCAATAACCCGCAATCAATAGCGCCGTCAGGACGAAGTTGCAGAACTTGCTCACGAGACTCATGTTTTCCGTCCTCTGCAGAAACATAGACACACAAAGACACAGCAAGACATGAATAAAGACACGTGCCTCTTTCTGTGACTTCTCAGAACATCTGCAAAACATTTCTCCTTAGAAGCAGCCAGAAGTGTTCCAGCAGAGTCCTAGATTGCAGGGCATCAATTCCAAATGCAATCAATCATTACAAAGCTGCCCTTTGATTTCAGCTTAGAAACAGACATAATTTTCCATATTGAGACATATCCAGCAATTTACTTAAAGTGACACTAAACTCCGGAGTTAAACCTTAAAAATGCATTCAAGTACCTTAAATATTAGCAAAAATGTATCTTATTTGTGTATCACTCGGCTGTAGATCCTCAAATCATCTCTGAATTGGTGCTGACACTGTCCTTCCTTCTGGAGGGGGGCTACTTTTGTTCCCCATGGTCCCTGTGTGTATTGTAAAGTAGCCACCGCTCTAAATTCACTCCCGTGATAAACTATAACTTCAATACAAATTAGATACCTAAACATGAGACTGTAGTCTATCAAGGGAGTGAGCTTGGAGCGGTGGCTACTTTACAACCCTCAGGGACCATGGGGAATAAAAGTAGCCCCCCTCTAGAGGGGAGGGCAGTGTCAGCATAAAATTAAGAGATGATTTGAGGATCTACAGCTGAGTGATACACAAATAAGATACATTTTTGATAATAGTTAAAGAGGAACTTTACTAATATCTTCAAAATAACAACAAACACTCCTAGAGAAATGCTTAGTAATGACAATCTACAAACACCTAATTCTAGATAATTGGTGGCTTTGTATTCTTTGCATACCTTATTTTTCTTTTCTTCCCCATTCTTCTGACAGTGGGCATTTTTTTTAACTAAGGGCAGATTGATATATCTCACTTTACTTCCTGGAATTAGGTCCACTTTACTTGAACACATTTTTAAGATTTAACTCCTGAGTTTAGTGTCACGTTAACTTTAAAGGGCCAGGAAGTCTTAGTAGCCATTTAATTTTAGCCCAAGGGTAGGCTTAGTGCTTGTGCGTAATAAGCCGATACATCTGTGTCCAAAAGGACTATGGAGGCAATTAGTGTCATACAGATTGAACTACCTTTGGAGAGCAGATCGATATGCCCCCTTTCCTTTCCATTGTTGATCATTTGGACCTCACGGTAGATGGGACATGCCTCTGTAAGGATAACTGTGATGGGTTGCCTGTCTGGCCAATAGAAGTGTGTGAGGGGAGGCAAGTAAACTTCATCAGTACCAAGAATATCCTGGTATTTAGGTGTAGCAGCAGGTGTTTTTTCCCTTTCCCTCTTTCTCACTTCTTGTCCCTGTGACACCAGGACATGGAAATGAACAGAAAGTCACAAGCAGCATTTTGTTAGATGCTCTAACCCTTTTACCCCCTGCTAAAATTTGTTATAGAGATCTCATGAAAAGGTTCCTCATCACTACTTGAGCAAGTAGGAAGTGAGGACTTCATCTTGCTGGTGATCCCATGCAGAGATTTCTCATCGCTACTTTAGCAGACAGGAAGTGAGGTCTTCCTCCTGCTGGTGATCCCTTGAAGAGATTTCTTCAAGGGCCAGAGTTTGCCTACCCCAATGTAGATCTTCCTTACTTTGTCTTGTAACAATAAAGTTTAACTTTAAAAAATGTGCGGTCATTCCCAGGTTACCAATTTTAAAGTTAGCATTAGCACAAAGCAAAGCAAATTATTTTGAACATAGAAAATAAAAAAGTAATAATAACATTTTCAATTAATAGAGTAAAATCAAAAAAATCTGCAACGGCAGTGCCCTTGCTTTGAACTGAATGAAGGAACAATACAAGTAAAATTCCACGAAGTAAAGTTCCAAAATGTTCAAAAGTTCCAAAATGGCGGAGTTAAAGGGTTAAAGTTCAGTAATTTTCAAATATATGCGTTTATTTTTCATATAATGGAGTTATTAACTTCAACAGACTCAATTCACTAAACTATAACAGTTGCTACTCTCAACCACGTGACTTTTTTTCATCTTAAGAAGTTAACAAGAAGTCTCCGGCGCTCAGTACTATCTATTTATTAATAATGCATCACATTAGTCAAATAAGCCAATGTTGCGGGGCCATTCAGAGTCCCTTCCTCAGGGTGACATAGGTCAGTCACTATGTCACCCTGAGGAAGGGACCCTGCGCGGCCCTAAAACATTAGCTTATTTGTCTAATGTGATGTATAGTTAATAAGAGTAGTTTGGTGCTGGTGACTTCTTCTCGTTATATTCTGTGGATTCACACGGTGCCATCCATGACTGTCACTACAAGCACCACTTTACTCGACTTGGTCGCAGCGCTTTATGGGGTGCAGCTGGCATCTACACTTTCCTGTCATTTTCATCTGTCACTGCTGAGGATAAGGAACATTCAGGTTCAAACACTGCGGGATAAAGATCATTATTTTTTTTTTAAAGTAATGGTAATTTTCATCAGAATCCAATGGGACATAAAAATAACTTTCACATGACCAAACAATAAAGCGTGTCAAGCTAAGTGAATTAAGCTTTAAAGGAGAACTATGAGGTGAGTGAAAATTACTCACCCTCATAGTTCGAACCGACCTGTGACAATGAAACTGTCACACGTCGGCTCAATTGATCGGGAAGTGAGCGAACACATACCGTCGCTCGCTCACTTCTCGATCGTCTCCCTGCAGTGAGCGGTGACTGCCAGTCACCACTCCCCGCAGGGATTCCCCCCTTCCCGCTCCTCCAACGCTGACCGGAGGAAGGGGGATGGGGCGGGTACAGCTGGCTCTGACTCTAGATAGGCAGAGCCAGCTGTCCTTCACACTGCTGGGTGGATCTCAACAGCATTGTCGGGATCCGTCCCGGCTGCGGTGGTCTCAGTATATCTCGAGCTGTAGCTCGCTATATACTGAGCTTTGGGTCATGGGAGGAGGTTAGTATGTGTCCTCCCGTGACCCTTAAGAGAACTATGGGGAAAAACACTGACCCCATTATTTTCATGAGAGTTCAATGGGATTTAAAAATAACAGTCATGTGACCAAAAAACAAAGTAAGCTGAATTTGTCAAAACTGGAGCCAACAAAATCTGGAGCAGTTGCCCATGGCAGCCAATCAGCTTCTCTATTTCATTTTTGAAGCTTAACTGAACAAACTGAAGAGAAAAGTTGATTGATTACTATTGGCACCTGCGCCAGATTCTGTCTGCTCCAGTTTTGATCTAAATTTCCCCCCATTGTGTCCAGCTTTGTGAATTAAGCCTAAAGTCATATTGCAATTACGGTTTAGTGAATTGAGTCCAGCACGATCAAAATATACTGACTAAATAACACATATTTAGGCTCATTTCACAAAGCTAACACTGCAGGATAAAACTCATTATTTTAAAAAAATTGACAGTTATTTTCATCAGAGTCCAATGGGATTTAAAAATAACAGTCACATGACCAAAAAATAATGTGTGTCAAGCTCCGTGAACTAAGCCTAAAGTTATACTGCAATTATAGTTTAGTGAAATGAGTCTAGTGCTCAAAATATATTGATGATTACATAACGAATATTAAGTCTCAATCCATAAAGCTAACACTGCAGGATAATGATCATTAAACAAAAAAAAAAGTGACAGTTATTTTCCAATGGGATTTAAAAATAACAGTCACATGACTAAAAAAATTAAGCGTGCCCAGTTTCGTGAACTAAGCCTAAATTTATTTTTGTTAGAGTCCAATGGGATTTAAAAATAACCTCAATTCACAAAGCTAACACTAGTATAAAGATCTTTTTTTTTTTTAAGGTGACAGTTATTTTCATCAGAGTCCAATGGGATTCAAAAATAACAGTCACGTGACCAAAAAATAAAGTTTGTCAAGCTCCGTGAATTAAGCCTAAAGTCAAATTGCAATGATACTTTAGTGAATTGAGTCTAGTGCGCTCAACTATATTGTTGATTAAATAACGAATATTAAGGCTCAATTCATGAAGCTAGCACTGCAGGATAATGATCGTTAAACAAAAACAAAGTGACAGTTGTTTTCATCCAATGGGATTTAAAAATAATAGTCACATGACCAAACAATAAAGTGTGCCCAGTTTTGTGAACTAAGCCTAAATTTATTTTTATTAGAGTCCAATTGGATTTAAAAATAAGTCACATGACCAAAAAATAAAGTTTGTCAAACTTTGGAAATTGAGCCTGAAGTAAAATTGCAATTACAGTTTAGTGAATTGAGTCTAGTGCGCTAAAATATATTGATGATTAAATTAACAAATATTAAGGCTCAATTCACGAAGCTAACACTGCAGGATAATGATCATTAAACAAAAAAAAAAAAAAACTGACAGGTGTTTTAATCAGAGTCCAATGGGATTTAAAATGAACAGACACATGACTAAAAAATAAAGTTTGTCAAGCTGCGTGAACTAAGCCTAAAGTCAAATTGCAATGACAGTTTAGGAAATTGAGTCTAGTGCGCTCAAATATATTGATGATTAAATAATTAATATTAAGGATCAATTCACGAAGCAGGATAGAAATCATTACTTAAAAAAAGTGACAGTTATTTTCAGCAGAGTCCAATGGGATTTAAAAATGACAGTCACATGACCAAAAAATAAAGTTTGTCATGCTTGGTGAATCAAGCCTAAGTCAAATGACAATACAGTTGAGTGAATTGAGTCTGGTGCGCTTGAAAGAGATCAAAGTTAGCAGCTTGAGAGAACTTTAGTGGAGGTTGGCAGAGGAAGAGTCTCTTGAAATGAAGGTTGTAGCAATAAAGTTGCAAAGTGAACTTTGGAACTCTGAGTTAACTCAAAGCTAGTAGTGTAAAAGTTAGAGAGAGCACTTCTAAGCAGTTCTACAAAGGCAGAAAGTGACCTGGGAAAGGGTAACGAAGGGTTCATGCAGGGTGTGCTAGCCATGGCTTGCGGCTTGCAGCAGTGCTATGTACAAAGAGGAGACGATGGGATCTGACTTACTGGTGTTGTCTTGCAGCGTCCTTGCAGGCTGCGGGCTTTTGTGTCTGCTGGCAACTGAGCTCTTCTGATGAGGGGAAATAGGAGGGACCGTGCTATTTATGCCTGCAGAGGGTCCTCTTTGTCCAACAATGACTTTAACCTTAAGACCCGACCGTTTACATGCAGCTTACATCCACCACTGACTGGGGAGGGTTTTTTTTTTTTTTTAGGAAATGATTGGAACAGTCTGTGTGCCAGTTGGTGGAAGTTTCTGCAATAAAATAAACCTCACAAACGCTGACTAAACAAATTAGGGTTTTTAAAGGGCCCCCCCCCCCCCCCCTGCTGTAAGATTTCATGTGATACATTAGGGAAACGTGTTCTCGTTTTAAAGCTCTGTATTCCCTGAAGCCAATGACACGCCAAGTTTAACCATTGAAGGACCTCAGAAGGTTTAAATGATAAAGTAGATGAAAGAGCGGCGCACAATATTCGCTGCTCGACGTGCTAAGCACATGTGCATGTTTAACACGCATTGGCTGAACTCCAGACAGATGAATGCGGCTCTGTGATCATTAAAGTTGTAGGAAACGCTCAATTTTTTAAATTATTATTATTATACAGGATTTATATATCGCCAACAATTTGTGCAGCGCTTTACAATAGAAGGAAGACATTACAATCACAATTCAATTCAAGACAAGATGGTAAGGAGCAGAGGCTTTCCGAGGCGGGGTGACACCTCACAGTGACGTCGTCGCGTACGTGTATGACGTCATCGTGCATGCACGTGATGATGTCACGCGCAGTACCGCTGTTATCGGCAGAGAGGGGAAGGGACGTCAACCGGCAGGATAAGTTACGCCGCCGGGTCCCCTCCTCTCTTGAGCAACTGTCGGGCTCTCAGTCCGTGACCGAGTGCCCGACTGTTTAGAGGGGGGTGACATCAAAATGAATGTCAGTCATTTTGGTGTCACCCCTCCAATGGTGTCACCCAGGTGCGTGCCGCACCCCTCTTGTGACGCCACTGGTAAGGAGGGCCCTGCCCGTGAGAATGCATGGAGATCAAGCAAATATACGTTCCCAGCAATGCATTTCTAAAACATGTCTGTGAAGGTTCTCATTCATCCAAGTCATCTATTAAAAAAAATAAAAAATAAATCAAGGTAACTGGACGTGCTGTGTTGTTCTTGAAGACATTTCGCTGGTAACCCGACCGGCTTTCTCAATTCAGAATGACTTGTACAAAAATTATCTGGGAAATAATATGCTGAATGTCACTCCCATCAACATAATCTGTTAATCATATCCAGCATGGGGTCAGAGACCTCGTGGAGGTAAGGTGTAGATTGAATGTATTCAGTTGATTTGGCGGTTCATCCAAATCCGAAATAACAAATTTATTATATGCCTGAATATACTAAAACTATATTCAGGAATACATAAATTCATTTTCAGGCCATATTGGCTGCCGGCGTGTTCTGCGCATGCCCGCCGCCATCTTGGAGGTGGAGTGTATGACCTTACATGACAGTGACGTCACAAGCTGAACGAGCGGTGGCCATATTGGCCGCTGGCGCATTCTGCGCAATGCGCACCACCATCTTGGAGTATGTCTCAGTATACACCAAGATTGCGGCACTCGAACATGCGGGCGCCGCCATCTTGGTGTAAACCAAGATATACTCCAAGATGGCGGCGCGCATGAGCAGAACGCGCCGGCGGCCTATTTGGCCGCCACTCGTTCTGCAATTTCAGTGTGCGGTTTCGGATTCGGAGGCTCGTTGCAGCAAAGGGAGCCATTCAGTTTCGCTGCAGCATACATTTTATTAGGAGGAGAGAGCAGAGTGATGAGCTCATCAGTCTGCTGCTTCTCCTTTCACTGTCCATTCACAGTCTGGGGGCATAGACAAGACCTGTACGTTTTACTTAACTTCAGCAGAAAAAGACCAGGTCTCCTGCCTTGCCAAACAAGGCTGTGCTGTGTGACAGAGCTGTGTAAACCTCAGAACTGGATAGACAGAATTACAAATCCCTTATGTATATTTTATCCATTTATTTAGCTATTTGCCTTGAGTACAACTTTAAAGCGTAGTCCACGTTTCTGACCATGTTTCATGTTACACCTATATTTAGGGTATAACATGAAACATGGCCAAATTCCCAATTTGACAAGGGTCAAATTGTGATGGCTACATGACTGGGTCAGAACAACTCCAAAACTGCAGCTCTTGTGGGATGTTCCTGGTCAGGACCTACCAAAAGTGGTCCAAGGAAGGAAAACCGGTGAACAGGCGACAACACTGCAAAAATGGGTCAAGAATAGTTTGAGGAACACAACAACGAGTTTGAGGTATTGACTTGGCCTCCAATTTCTCCAGATCTCAATCTAATTGATCATCTGTGGGTTGTGCTTCAAAAAAAGTCTGATCCATGGAGGCCCCACTTTGCAACTTACAGGACTTAAGGGATCTGCTACTGAAGGCTTGGTGCCAGATACCACAACATACCTTCAGAGGCCTAGTAGAGTCCAGGCCTCAGCGGTTCAGGGCTGTTTTGGCAGCAAAAGGGGCACCTACTCAATATTAGGCAGGTGGTCATAAAGTTATGGCTGATTGGTGTGTGTGTATAAATATATATATATATACTTATATATATATATATGTGTGTGTGTGTGTGTTATATAAAGACGCTATAGATTCTCCTTAAAGGTTATGTGTTATGATTTGAGGGGTATTGTTACGTTTTAGGGCTGGTTGAGGACTATGGTGAAGGGGTCTAAGGTTCAAGTTAATGTCAGGGATCAGGGCATTTTACTGGCACTGGGAACCCAGAACTGAACACTACCAGTGCCAAATATACAAAAAATGTCAAATAAAATAAACCAAAAATCATTCTAGGTTCCCTTTAGTTGAGATGTCTGGATCTGATTTCACATCCTCTGCTTTTGCTCTCTCTGAAAATTGAATGACACAGTCCCCTCACTGACATTTCCAATAATAAAACATTGATGTGAAGAAAGTGTTTCAATATTTGCACAATATTGGAGATTTCAAAACTCCAGCACTGGTAGGTTTGGAGCTCTTATGAAATCTTTCCTTGACTGTGATTCCCATCATCTGCTAGTTTATAGACCGGGCGTCATTGGCTCTGAGCAGGAAGTGTTCTAGTGGTCATTGTAACTGACATAGAAATTCCAGGGAAATCCAACATTTTACAGAGAAGAGGGTAAATCCTCCAACAGAGGCCCATGTTCCTCTGACAATTGTCCATGAGGGGATTTCCCTTACACACATTAACCCCTCACTACTCTATCCAAAACTTAGAAAACAAAAGATTTGTCTAAGCATATGCTTTAACCCCTTAGTGACCGGGGCCATTTTTTTACTTCAATTACTTCAAACCCCCACACATATATTTTCTGAAAGCCAAGACCCTGTAGAATAAAATGGGCGCAGTTGCAAATTTTTATGTTGCACGATATTAGCACAACATATTATCAAACCCCAACATTTAGTGAAAATGTCCTTAAATGCCCCAAAATACAATTAAATACCCATTGTTTAAATAAAATATAAAAGATGAGGTGACAACGAGTAAATAGATACCCAACATGCCCAGGTTAAAAATTGTGTGCGTCCGTGAAACTGCAACAGAATTTAGTACCCCAAAAAGTCCGTAGATGACGCTTTAAAAACCACCAGAGGTCATCAGTTTAGAGATACGCGTAAATATTGGCCTTAAAATTATTGCTCTCACTCCGGCGTCCGCGGCCATACCCAACATGTGTAGCGCGATTGTTGTTTTCATTCGTAGGCGTACCCGACGCGTGTTTATGTGACGACACGCGTGCTTGCCGGGCGGTGGACTTTAAAACATTTTTTTTTATTAATGATACATTTATGTAATTTAATATTCATTTTAAAAACTTTTTTTTTTGTGTGTACTTTAATTGCTTTTTATCATGCCTCTGGGAGTCATGGCTGTTGCTGTCAGAGTCTTGCAAATGCCTCATGGGACCTCAACTGTTCCACAACAGCTGGAGTGCCGAGGTTGCCTACTCCTGATCTAGAGAGTACTACCCAAACATTTTACAATTTGTATGAATCTTACTATGAGGGATTTGGGGATTTTAAAATCAAAGCAGGAATGGTCAACTGCATAATGTAATGTATATAGTACCTATTGTAGTATAATGGAAGACTATGGGGTCTATTCACTAAGCTGCCGTAGGCAGCCGAGTGAAAGACCGACCTGAAGTGAAGTGAGCTGAACACGTTCGGCTATTCACTTCAGGCTGGTACGGCTGATTTCAGCATAGAAAGAAAAAAATAAAGATTTTTGCCCATAGGAATGCATTGCTAGATTCCTATTGGCTATTTCAGTTTGCAATAGTCAATAGTAAACCAGCATTGCAGCCGCCCTCTGCTGCAGTTCTCCATCAGGTCCATCAGCAGAGGGCGGGTGCAATGCTAGATTACTATTGGCTATGGCAAATTGAAATAGCCAATAGGAATCTAGCACTGCATTCCAATGGGCAAAAATTTATTTTTATTTTTTTCTATTCTGACACGGCTCCGCCCAGCTTTTTTCTGCTTCTGACAGCTCCGCCCAGCTGTCAGAAGCAGGCTGTCAATGGCTGGCCGCTCGGCCAGCTTCGGCTTTCAGCGCGGCTCAGCCGAGCCGAGGCATATGTTCGGGAGCTGTACGCGCTATAGTGAATAGCCCGTACAGCAGCCCTTCGGTTCTACTTTTGGGGGCCCCCATTTTTTTCCCCACAATTTTTGGGGGTGGGGTTCCTACTTAAAATTCCTAAACGGTCTGGTATTGTTTGGGAGGGGGAACTGCACGCTTTAAGAATAAAACGAACACACGAACTAGCAATGTTCGAGCCCAACCGTACTGAAGAGAGAAGCTGATTGGTTGCCATGCACAGCTGCTCCAGTTTTGATAAATTCCCCCCAGAATATATTGATCTGTGTCTTTAGCCTGTTTACCTGGAGTTCAGCTTTTAGGTTAACATTTGAGTATATATCCACTTTAACATATATAAATCCTGGAAGATGTGCTTAGTATACACTTTCTTATAATAATATATTTGTTCGGGTGAATACATTTGTAGACAGATTGGAATGGTGTTAAAAGACAATTATAAAAAACAAAAATCACTGCGCTAGGA